TGAAAATAGTTCAATTTGTAGCTCGTAGAAACTGTAGAAGGCATGATTCTCGCGCTGAAGATTGAATATTTGTCTTCTAGAGTTTTCACGAGCTAAAGATTGAACACATTTCCAAGAACAAGGGCAGTAACTCATACTCAATATTATTCAGTATCGCCCTAAAGAGTTCAAATGAAGTGTATAACTGAAGGTTGAATATTTCATACTGGTGATTGTTACTGTACTGCTAAATATTTTTATTCAAAATCAAAGCTGCCAGTGGGCGTATATTACCTTGCCTGGCAAGCTATCTTTATAATGTCCATGGAGCTTGTTTTCATTTAGTAGTAAATGTTGTCATTGATTTTAAATATGTAGCCTACCATTGTTATATGGTGTAAAATCTAAAGAAAACTAGATTATAGATTGCATAGAGGCTAGTTTGATAAAAAAAAAAATTCACACGAACTAGATATTGTACATGACTACAAAATGTAAGGGTTCTAAACATCACCCTTGATTATTTTATACCTTGTAATAACTTATGTTTATTATTAAAATTCACTTATTAATTGGCAATATGTCATAATCTATATATTTTAATATCATTTTAGGAAATAAGTCACGTCCGATTTGAGGAGAACTGCTGATCTCCTCAGACAGGCAGCCAGCGAACTGGAGAGAAGCCTTACTCAAGCTTCTAGTTCTAGTACCAGTTCGACAACAACAACTACCACTACTAGTCCTACTGTTAATCCAGGGGTGGGAGAGTTGAGGAAGATTTTTCTTCCATATGGGAAGAAATCCCGTAAAACGGCAACTAGCACAATTGCTTCCGGTCAGAAATCTAATCACAGATTTCTGTGTTTAGCTGATAGCTCTCAGGTTAGACTTAGTTATTACTAAGGATGTGATAGTCCTAAAAAATGTTCTAACATAATTCTTAGTCATTGAAAATTATATATTCACTTTATATTCTTTCATTTTAGACAACTGTACCAGACAGACATTTAAAGAAAAAATTACATGAAGCTGGCCTTGGGGAGAAGAAAATAGCACTATACAAAAATGACGATCCTGACTATTTCAAAAGAGAAATAGAATTAAATTATGAAAAGTTATCTGGATGCGGATCATTCGATTTGCATAAGGCAATTGGCAGAACCAATTTAGAAATAATTAAAGCTCCAAAGAATGGCTACACTTCAAATTTCTTATCGACATGTTATTTTGGCCAGGCAATAATATACATAAAACCTCTTCAGAGGAATATAGACACATTTCCCATAACCAGCCAAGAGGTATGTTATAGGTACTACTTATATTGAAATATAACATTTGTGATAGCTCTCTGAATGGCATGCAGTCATTTATGCATAAATAGTGTAAACGTGACTTATTAATGTGCCTCATTCAATTACGTTCCTAATTGAAGGTGTGCCTAAATAGAATAGTGCTGAATAATAGTGTGTCTAAAAGAGTATGCCTTAATGAATATGTGTCTACATGACGGTGTGCCTAAATTACCATTTTTAATTGATTTGTGCTTAGAATATTTGTGCCTTAATGACAGTCAACCCTTTGAACATCCTGTAATCATTCTTAATTATCATTGAAAGTCAGACATGAACCTAGATCAAGGCTGCTTTTAAATTTTGATAAAATATGGTTACATAGTTACCAATTTAAAATGAAATTTTGTTCCTTGACAGATAAAATAGAACTTGTTCACATGTTGACCCCTTATTTCTACTTTTGAAAATCATAATTTGTACTTAAAGCATTTATCCCTGTTTGTTATAGTCTGATGGAGAATGTCATACAGAGATATGTTTAGATTGTGGAGAAGATGTTCCAATCAACAATATACGGATGCATATTGAAGAGAAGCATGGGGTAAATGTCATTTCATTTTTTTCCATGAATTTTTTAGATCAGATTACAAATCAAAATGTGTTTATTACTGTGAAAATATTCTCTTCAAAAAATAAAAATTCCCAATAACAATATATTTATGGAATTGTAGTCCTGCAATAGGAATTGGTGCGACTGGCCTATAGTTCAATGGAGTTATTATTGTTCATGCGCTTCTAATAAATACAAGAGTTCATAAATTTCTTTTCTTACAAAAAACACAAACAGTAAAAACCAAATAGGCTTAGGCCTATATATACATCGAAGTAATCAGGAGTACAGAAGACGAACGAAGCGGATATACAAATGAAGCGATTAACTGAAATATATAAAATATATCAGAAATAAGTGATATGAACAATATCTGACTTAAGGGAGACAACCCTCTTATAACAATATTCTAACAAGCCAGACCACAACTAATCTATGCAACTAAAGGCCAAAAAGTACAAAACCGGTGCGAAACGAAGTAAATCTAAGCATCCCAATAATGCGAACGAAGTAAATCTAAGCATCCCAATAATGCGAACGAAGTAAATCTAAGCATCCCAATAATGCGAACGAAGTAAATCTAAGCATCCCAATAATGCAAACAAGTAGGCCTAAATCTAAACATCCCAATAATGCAATCTACATACATCCCAATAATGTACTCTAAATACATCCCAATAATGCAATCTACATACATCCCAATAATGCAATCTACATACATCCCAATAATGTACTCTAAATACATCCCAATAATGTACTCTAAATACATCCCAATAATGTACTCATATATAATATAGAACTATACATCCCAATAATGCAAGTTACGAAGGCGAATGAAAACGAATCGAAAGGGCTTATTATGGCTCACGAAGCAAGGTAGATTTGACAACTAAAAACCTATCCGAAAGCAATGAAATGCATACACAATGTTACAAAATATACAATAAAACAGTCATTACCAAATTTGTTGTTCTCCATAGTCTGAATTCCTAATTGCAAAACATCGAAAAACGAAATGGTCCAACGTAAAGAACTGTATTTTCCCACAAACCGGAAAACGTGCGAATTATAGTCTCGATTATTTAGACGCTATTTTTAGAATTGAAGGCAAAGTTCGTTTTGAACCCTACATAACCGGCCCTCTTAATTGTGTGTGTACAATACAATTAACTGTACTTAACTCAGAAACAACAACTAAGGTTTACAATTTCAACAAGAATATGGTTTTTAGAGTTGAAATGCTATTAATAAAATGAAAACTGCTAATCCCTATCCAATATTCCAAATTTAATGAACATAATTATTATTCACATTAAAGCAATTCCTACTCATAGAAACATATAAAATATGAATTAACATTATAAAACTTAACATAAAACTGTAGTGATAACTCCTGTAACACTTATTAGAGTTCTATATTGCCCAGGAATAAAGTACAACATAAAATTTATGCCTTATCAGCTTCCATTAACATACATAATTTATGGATAGGGCGCTTTAAAGTAGCGTTTTTGGTTTTTAGCAACACTGATCGAACTAAACCATTTTTATCCATGTAAGTTTCTAAAACCATTGCAAGATTCCAATTATTTCTTACATTCCCTTCTACTAACAATACGATATCTCCAGTCTGAACATTTCTTTTCGTAGTCAACCATTTTTGGCGTTCTTGAAGGGATGGAATATACTCATTTAACCAACGTTTCCAAAAAATGTCGCTTAATTACTGCACTTGTCTCCAGCGTCTCTTAATGTAATGGTCGGATTTATCTGGAATAGTCACGGAAAAATCTCTATGTCCAACACTAATTCCAAGAAGGTGATTAGGTGTTAGTACATCTAAGTCATCTGGTGAATCTGAAGCTTTAGTCAATGGTCTATTATTAAGTATAGATTCCACCTCACACAATAATGTTGCAAATCCTTCATCGTCCATGCGATTTAACTGATCATGTTGTAATGATGCCAAAACCTTGCGTACTTGACGAATCAACCGTTCCCAGGCTCCTCCGAAGTGTGATGCCGAAGGGGGGTTAAATACCAACGAATACCATGGTGAATTAACTCCGAATTTATCTTTGATTGGTTCAATTGAAGAATGCAGGTTTTAAGTTCCTTATATGCACTAACTAGGTTACTTCCATTATCAGATCTAATCGAAAAGGGTTTGCCCCTCCTGGCCACAAATCTTCGAATAGCGTTTATGCAGGAGTCTGTGTCTAACGAACTGGCCACCTCTAAATGCACAGCTCTAGAGTTAAACACGTAAAAATACGCCGTAGCGTTTTACAT